CATGGCAGATATGGGGGTGTTGATTAGACAGGAACTTCCTGATATAGTGTTGAGTTTGGTCACGTGACCAGGAAGTTACGATTTAAGATTGTCTAAGCCATGAGGCAGTGTGTCAGTCATTACACAGAGTACAAAATGGAGGCACAAATAGCGTCTCAGTGAAGTCGGGTGCATCTGTTCATTGTGGGACTTTAAGAAACATTGTCTGTAAGTTCATATTCTTAGGTTTTTTTTTCGGTTAAGTCACGTAAGTAAAACATCAAAATAAAAATAAAATAAAAATAAAAAATCACGACGTTTTGGAGGCAACACAAGTCTCCGTCATCAGGTGGGACCGTTACAGCCGGATTAGCTGCATCAAGTGAGGCAATGATTCAAGATGTAATCCCTTAAAAAGGCAAGTTGAGGGGGAGGAGAGGGGGGGGGGGCTCATCAGAATGTGGCTACCACATTCTGGCTACCACATTCTGATGAGCCCCCCCCCCTCTCCTCCCCCTCAACTTGCCTTTTTAAGGGATTACATCTTGAATCATTGCCTCACTTGATGCAGCTAATCCGGCTGTAACGGTCCCACCTGATGACGGAGACTTGTGTTGCCCCCGAAACGTCGTGATTTTTTATTTTTATTTTATTTTTATTTTGATGTTTTACTTACGTGACTTAACCGAAAAAACCTAAGAATATGAATCTTTGCAGTCACGAAAGCTTCAAATCTAGTCTGTAAGTTCGTTTATGTTTTTTTTATAGTACTGGGAATGCTGTTATAATGTTAGGATTGACGTTACAATGCTGTAAATGCCTTTATAATGCTGTTAAATTGTTATGATACATATAAGGCATGGTTAACAACGAAGCAATGCACTTGCATTATTGTGAAAGTTATTTGTAGTTGGATAAGGCGAGCCATACTTGTGCCCATGTAACTTTAATGCGTTCTTGAGAGCAAAGATGAAGAAGTATCGCATCCACAGTTCAGTGTTATGTGCAGCGCTGTACATTTAGGCTGCAGTATGGTGATTACACAAAGTTACCTTATTTAACACAGTAGCTTATTCTCTTGTTGTATAGCTATTCAGTGCTATTGTAGGTGCCTGTTGAGTTTCATGTTATCTAAGACAATGTTTTAATGCTGCAGTATCCATTCATTCAGTGTATTGATATTGAAAGTATTAACAGATACTGTTTTTTTGTGCTGTGTTTTCCCATCAGTTTTACCTCGTTCTATTCATTAAATACGTTGGCGTCAGATGTTCAACCTGGCTCTGAAGGTTTACTGAACGCGAGGTTAACTACTCGGATAGTGGTGCAACGTAGCGCACAGCGAGGCCGAGACAACGGGGTTAAACACATCCGTTAGCTATTTCAGTAATAAGTATAACCCGTAAAAACAAAGTTTTTCACTATAAATCCTTTATTTGCGTGGCGGTTAGAGTCCTCTCGTCCTCTGGCTTGAGATGGCTGCCACCTATGGTTCAGATGATTGTCTGCCAGTATTAAGCAATTGGTAATTAAATATTTAATTTGTTTTCCCTAAACAGTGTAAAATTTTGGAAAAAATTTTTCACGAACATTAATTGTCTCGCACAACGATTCTGTGTGCAAAATGTCAGCTCGATTGGATCACGGGAAGTGGGTTAAAAAACGACCGAAAGATTTGCACGGTCGTAAGCAAGCAAGCAAGCACGCAAGCAAGCAAGCAAGCGAACTTAATATAAAGGATTTAAAAAGTGAGTCGGTATAAAAGAGGGGAGGGGGCACAGTCGGATCTTGCATAGCCCCCCCACCCCCACGTTGTAGCAGGGAGCTGCGCCCCTGCCCACCTCGCGGTTGGACTGTTTGCAGCTCCTCCAGGTGCGTTCTCTCGGTTGAAACCGCGCGTTGTTGCTACGGTGCGATGACCAACCCTTTGCTCCGCGTGCCTGGGAGCTTCTCCAACTCAAGCGAGCTTCTAGGGCGCGGAATCGAGCCAGTTCAGAAGTTGAACGGAGAGCGTTATGGAAGAAGCTTCCAGGCACGTGGAGCGAAACGTCGGACACCCCGCCGAACAACACGAGGCAAATGACGATGATGATGGTGGTGGTGGTGGTGATGATGGTGATTGACTGAATCGACACTTAACGCGGAATTGGAGCTCGCAACTTTCAGCCTATATTTTTTAAACAGGTTTGATAAGATCGGAGAGGGAGGACTCGATGTAACACAATATCACAATAGCCCTGGAGCGGCTTGTTATTTATATATCACCATGGAGTTCATGGCTCAATGGAATGTACTGTAACATGCACACTATTTTTTTTATTTTACCAGGTAAGGCCCGCTGTGCTCAATAGCTCTCTTTTCCAGAAGCGATACTCTCAATGCGTGATGTCGACTCTAGATGTGGAGGGGAAAAACCGGAGGACCCGGAGAAAAATCCACGCGACCACGGAGAGCGAGAGAGACATGAAAACTTCAAATATACAGGTTTTAGAATCGGGATCAAACCCACACACTCCTGAATTCTCGGCGAGGGAGTTAACATCTCGCCACCGAGGCGCCATACACACACAACAGCGGAACCTGATTTTATATCTGGTACACCCTGCGGGATGAATGCACTTTGCCCCACAATGGGAGAGTTTTTTTTTATTTATTTCAAATCCTGCTCGTACATCAACCCAGCCCATCGTCAGCATCATAATCATATCCCGTGGATCAATAAAATATGCTCTACAGTACTTCTCAAGAATCAGTGGTTCTCCTATAAATAATCTGCCCCCCTCAGTCCACCCGCCCACGCTTCGGGCTCCAAGCTGCTCGAGGGGTACCCGGATTGACGACAACAGTAGAGGGCATCACAAGTTTCAGCTCGCAAGCCCCATGCTCAATTACGCTCTCTCGCGTCTATCTTGTTTTCCAATCTCTCATCTGTCATATCACCGGTATCTCCCTATCTTGACTGTATCTCGTCTCTCATCTCACTACATCTCTCCATGTATATGTGTCTTTTCATTTATCCCACTGCACCTACATCTCTTGTCTATATCTCGCGTCATCTTACTACGTCGAGATTTGTCTAAATTTGTCTTATTTCACTAAACCTCTATCTCCTGTTCCGTGGGTCTCCGTGCGAGTCCGTGGATCTCCGTGCGGGGCTGTTGTGGTTGTGGTTGTTGTTACCTGCCTCTAACTTCCCACTACTAGGCAAAGGTCCCCCCCCCATTTTATTCCTGGTAAGTCTGCGCCTCCGAATTCCAAGATGTTGTCTCACTGATGCTGCTTCCTCTCTTCCCTTCTCTCTCGTGGTATCCACTCTAATCGAGTTATTGTTGTCTCTTATATCTTGTCAGCTGTTCTCTTGACCTGTGCTGCTGCCCACGTACTCTCGATTGCATTTTTTCTGGAACAGAAACGTTAACGTGCACATTCAACTTTTGATAGAGACACCCAGGTCCACGGATTGCACCCAGCTGCTCAAACGTTGGTGGCTGTCACACTTCGAATAGCAGTAGCTAGTTCAGCAGCACGTACACTCGATATGCTCGTACTAGATACACCATATGCTCATCTTAACTTTATGACAGCAGGGAGGCGCAGTTGTGGCGCTTCTTTGCTCACAGTGAGTAGCGCCTAGGTTCGATTCCTCATTCAGGCCAATTTCTGTGTGGCGTATTATAACGTTCTCCAGAGGTGTGGACTCGAGTCATGTGACTTGGACTCGAGTCAGACTCGAGTCATGAATTTGATGACTTCAGACTCGACTTGGACTTGCATAACAATGACTTTGTCCCACCTCTGAGGTGTGGACTCGAGTCATGTGACTTGGACTCGAGTCAGACTCGAGTCATGAATTTGATGACTTCAGACTCGACTTGGACTTGCATAACAATGACTTTGTCCCACCTCTGACGTTCTCCCCCTGTTCTGCATTGGTTTCCTCTGGGTTCTCTGGTTTCCTCCCATAGCTAAACACACACACATCGTGTAATGTATCCAGTATCGGCCAAGACACCCGAATGGTAATAAATAACCCGCAAATTACTCAATTGTAAAAGGTTTCAGTTTGGTGTTTGAACATCTTAACACCTGTTTTGTTGCCAGAAAAAAGGGGAAAACCTATTCTCATGCTCAATTGGGATCACACAGCAGCAGCATCACCCTCAGTCCTGCAATTACGTGGCAGGACCCTCCTGGAATATATTCATGGGACTCAGTAATGCTTTCTCTGGGTACACAGGTTGTCATACAAGGACGATAACTCATTCAGCACGCACAGTCAGCGAAGGAGCGTTGCGCCAAACGTGACCTCTTGCGATTACAGCGTTCGCTTCAACTGCTCTCGCTGCCGTTCACGGCGTCTCCAGTGATTTGTTTGGACCACGGATCACGAGGGGGGGGGGGGGACCAAGGGGGGCGGCTCTGTTCCTTCGAGGGTCGCAGTCAGCTTCGAACGTTGGCTACCAACCAGAGGTCGCAAACGGGTTTTGATTCTTTACCCGTACCCTGCCGCACCAGGGTCGCAAACGGGTACCCGTACCCTACCCGATACCCGGCTACCCGTACCCGGCCGGGTATCGGGTAGGGTACGGGTACCCAAAATCGACCTCTGGGATGAAGCCATGTTGCAGGCGCGGGTGGGTTGATTCTAGGAACTTAAATTGTGAGCAGAGACAAGACGTTAGGAAATGAGTGACAAACGGTTACTTACCAGTGACTCACGGCCTACCCGTACCCGTACCCGGCCCCACCAGGGTCGCAAACGGCTACCCGTACCCGGCCGGGTACGGGTAGCCGGGTATCGGGTAGGGTACGGGTATCGGGTACCCGGTTGCGACCTCTGCTGCCAACTGAAGTGCAGCTGCTGGAATTTAATAATAATAATACATTTTCATGTATAAAGCGCCCATTAGACAATGGTTCTCAGGGCGCCGTGCATGAAAAGGTTGAAAATTGTTTATCATCAACCAAGGGAAGAAAAAAAAATTGAGGAAGACGTTTGAAAATAACTGAAGAGAGATGAAGACAGTTAAAACAGATTCATTTATTAGTCGAGAATTTGCGCATGAAGACAGTGCGACGCGTACATAAACAATAATGATAATAAAAAGGAAAAGAGGTGACCTGACCATGAGATAAACAGCCACGTAGGGGCTCCGGTTTACTCCCGACACACAATGCCACCCGTGCTAGCCAAACAACCCAATGCAGCAGCACCCTCCAGAAGTGGGTCGATCTCAGTGTGGCTCCCCCAGGTACATAAGTAACGATAAAAGGTGTAACTTCTCGAACACGATTAAATGTTGGAACGTGACTTTATATAGTTGTGTTAATTTTGCACACAAATACAGAGATCACCTTCCAATGATACGTAACAAAATCCCTCCCCTTACTATAATCTAAATAATATTAAAAAGATAATAACGTGCATTTGCAACTACTTCCAAGGCTGAAGCAAAACGCAGATCCGTGGCTCGGCACATTGGCTAAGTTTAACATTGAACGAAGCAACACAACGTTAGCTTCACTGTAGCGAAAACAAGAAATGATAAATCTACTTCAAAGTTTCCGCATCGACGTTGAACGTGCAGTCTCGTGACAGTGGTGCTGTCGTCATGAGCGTCGTTAGCAGGATGAGACCTCCTCCTGGAACTCCCGCATCCTGCGAGGGCCTCGTGTCCAGCCAGGGCCTCACGTTCAGTCACGATACAACAGAGTCACTCCGATCGGGTCGTCTCAATAGGGGCCATCCCAATAGGGCCCGCCACATTAGGCGCCATCCAAATAGGGTCGCTACAAAGGGGTCACCCGAATATCGTCGCTCCAATAGAGGCCGCCCCAATATGCTCACTCCAATAGGGCTGCCCCAATAGAGTCGACCCAATAGTGGTCGCCTTAGTAGGGGCCGCCTCAATAGGGTCACCCCAATAGGGGCCGCCCCAATAGCACGATTATCACGGTTAGCTACGTATGATGCGATAGAAGTTCAACATACATACATTCGAGTAGTCATCCAATAGTGTCCGCCAAAATAGGGGTGCTATATAGGGGCCCATCTCAGCCAATACAAGAGGGTGCTTCTCAACGCTGTGTTCCCCTGGCTCTTTCAATGAAGGTCTAGTTTCTTTAAGAAGTAAATTATGTAACAAAGCTGAAATTAAAATATTTTCGTGCAATATTTGGTGCCCGGTCTGAGAACATAAACCCGCTATACTTCTAGATTTGAAGCTTTCGTGACTGCAAGGATTCATATTCTTAGGTTTTTTCGGTAAAGTCACGTAGGTAAAACATCAAAATTGATAAAAATTAAATCTTTTTGGTCACGCCTGCTATGTATGGTAACGTGATAGTTTTGAAACTCCGACCAAAACTATCACGTTGCCATACATAGCAGGCGTGACCAAAAAGATCTCCAAAATTCTAAACAAACATAAGATCCAAGTCCGATTCAGTACAGTGCATAAAATCCGTGATCTGATTCCATCTGTGAAGGATGTCGTTCCTGACTTACAGTATCCTGGAGTCTACAAATTGAGTTGCATTTGTGGTGATTGCTACATTGGAGAAACGAAACGTCATGTTGCTGATCGTGTCCGCGAGCACAAGTCAGATCTGAAACACGGCAGAACTGATTCTTCGGCCGTTGCCGATCATTGCTACAACTCGGTGGGCTCTCATGAAATTGTCTTTTCCGAGACCAAGGTTCTCTGCAAACCTCCTGGCTACCATCAAAGGTTTGTACACGAAGCCATACAAATATACAAACACAGACATAATTTCAACCGTGATGATGGGTACAAACTTAGTAATCATTGGAAAGATGTTATTAACCACGCAAAAAAGACTTGATTACACTTTTTTGGACCATCTTATCTGACAGGCACTATTTTACTTTACTTTACCGAGTGTTAACATCCCCAGTGTTTAACAGTAATCTCTTCATTGTTCAGCCAGCATTGGTATAAACATGGGCATTTTCGTTCTTTTCTATCATGTGTATCAGGCCTCCCCCTCCCCCCTCTCTGTCCAATGCGTTGGCGTTGTGCAGCAGTTAGTCGCTTGCGCACAATCGCTTCCACGCCATCGCCCACCCTTTTGGCCCCGCCCCCTCCCTCCCGATACGTTCCATTCATTGGCTACCACATTCTGATGAGCTCCCCCCCCTCAACTCGCTTTTAAGGGATTACATCTTGCCTCACTTGATGCAGCTAATCTGGCTGTGACGGTCCCACCTGATGACGGAGACTTGTGTTGCCTCCGAAACGTCGTGATCTTTATTTTATTTTATTTTTATTAATTTTGATGTTTTTACCTACGTGACTTTACCGAAAAAACCTAAGAATATGAACCCGCTATACGTTACAGCCCGGTTTAATCACGGGCGGCCGACACCAGAATCAAACCACGGTTGCGAGATGTTAACTACCTTGCTTAGTATACACGAGGTCATGGGTTCAATTTCGACCCTAACGCCTCTGTATATTTGGAGTTTGCATGTTCTCCAAATTTAGATTCAGCGTCCATTTATAGTATTTTTCTGCTATAAATTTCCACGTGGTAGTCCACTTCGTTGAGCTTTGATTTTTGTGGCCAGGTCGCGTCTGAAATAGAGACACATAGCTCAGTGGGCTTGACCTGGAAAAATACAAAAAAATTGTTTAGTTTTAGTTTAGCACCCAGAGCATCAATGGCGCTGCTACTAAAGCTCCTCTATAATCCTACTATTGGTTTTATGGAATTTCCACAACTGGCTCTGGGCTAACTTAAAAAAAACCTTTATCCCTTTTCCATCTGCCACATCCGAATTGAGGCATTGACGGGGACCCCTAACTTCACGAGTTTTTTTCTCCCACCAGCAGAACCAGAACGTGAAATAGCTGGACTCGCAATGGCACTTCAATCTGGCTTGAGGCCAAGCAGGGCCAGGGTCATGGCCAGTGATGTTTGTGATGTCAGCGGCACGGGCTCGGCTTCTGCAGTGGGAAAAACCACCAGGCCAATCCTGAGCCACGCCGAGGTGGCTTGGCACGGCCCTAGTACGGCTCGGTTGTGCAGTAGAAAAGAGGAAGGTGAGCCAATTTGAGAGCCACTCACCTCACCCAACTTACACCCACATATATATAATTATTTACTATTGTTTACGAATAATAGTGTTAACAAAAATAAACATACAACGAAATCACATTTACATGCCATTTACGAAATATTTCCTTAAATTACATGATAAAAACGTAAGTTAGGAAAGTGACTTTGCATGTCCGGGAATAGAAAACACGGTGTAGGTTGAGGCGCCCAACACAAGCATATTCTGTGAATGAAAATAACAAAAATATATCCATTTTAAAGTTGCGATCACGCGACCTTTATGAGTGCCGTCAGAGTGCGGGTTCGTATCGCCACTGCTTCATTATCTGCCGCGCGCTTCAAAGTCAAGCAACGCGCGGTGCATTGTGGGAGACAGGGCAACGCTCTGGCGAGTGTCTCGTGGTGCTTGCTTCAGTGTTTGAGTGAGATCTCAAAACCCACCCCATGGTGGTCTCATCTCAGCTCACCTCTTCCAGTGCCTTGCCTGCTGCAGCCTCCCGTAGCAACCCACCACCGATCTGAAGTAGCTTGGCCTGCCTCAGCCTGGTCCTCTCACCCACCTTGATGTCCTTCCTCGTCATCATTGGCATCTTCGCCATCGTTATTATCTTTATTGGCCACAGTCAATCCACTGCTGGATGAAAGCCTCCCCCGTGTCATTGCGGCCTCTCGCGATCCTGCGATATGACAACCGGTCCAGCATCCACGCACGTGCCCCTTTCGTGGCTCCATCTCCGTGGTAGACGTTCCACTCTTGATGCGTTACATTCCAGCTGGCGTTCAATCTAGACTCGTTGGTGCCCCGCCGCGGCCGGGTAAGGCATTCAGAATGATTCCATGGCTATCAATTATGACCGTGGACATGTGTGCACGAGACGCTGTGTTCTTGACCATCAGCTCGTCTTTCCCTCTATCGCGTGTGGTAATTCTGCCGTCTTGCGACTTTAAATAGCAAAGGCACAGCCCCTGCGCTTACTTGGTTCATGCCACTGCTGGGTGAAGGGGTCCCCACTACAGGGATCCCCTCTCTAGAGGGCCCATCCAGGGGAAGGGCCCTCTGGAAGCGGTGTGGAAGCACCCACACTTTAGCCCCACCACGCGCGAGACCAGTCGTTCGACTGTGTGATGGAACTCATTGACACTGATTGGGTGGACAGAGGCAGGGAGGAGTGGAGCGAGTGAACAAACTTGCACCGTCGTTTCAACCACTGACCGTCGCACCATGGTAGCTGACCAACCGTACGTGCCTATTCACGCCCGGTCGCCCCACTAGAGATGTGAGCATTCCAGCAGATACAGTCCGCACATCGTTGCTCACTGTCCCACGCTATTTTACGGGTGGTAAGGGCGGCAGCTAAACAGTCTACGGATGAGCAGATGACAACATAACAGTACTGCACATACAACACAGAAGTTTTGACAAATGAAGAGAATCCTTTGACAAACTGCGTCCCCCCGTGGGACAGAATTCGTTTTCCTGAGGCTGGAAGAACCCGATGTGCTAGGGAGTGGCTCAGCTCTCCGCAGTAGGTGTCCAGCCAAAAGCTGGAGTCATCAAGGGCGGAAGGATGACGGAGGCTTCTCTCAGTGTGCGCTAGGAAGGATGAAAGCGTCAGTGCTAAGCGCTCGTCGGTCGATGTCGGAATTGAGTGAAGAATTGTGTTGGCGTCTTGATGCTTTTTTTTGCCGTCGAATGTGTCTTTCGCACTTGAGAGATATTATCACAGGTTCAACCCGACCATTGTCTTTGCCGTGGCAGTTGTCTTCATGTTTCAACCGATGATTTAAATAAGAATCTGTCAAAAAACAACAGCATCATTACTGTTATTTCATTTTTACACGAGCGTTGACATTTTCATGGGAGAAAGAAATACAAATCAGAGACATCATCATCACTCGCCATGGTAAATCCATTTATGTGTAGCGTGTGTACTTACTGAGGCGCACACACTATATGTGTGGAGGCAACGTGTTTAATAAACAACTCACTGATTACTGGGTTCTATTGTTAAGTGTGGCTTTACTGTCCTCGACTGTTCACTATGTGTGTGTGAGTTAGCTATCACCGGGTCGGTAGCACACTTGCTACGGGCCCACGTTTCCCTGACTAAACCTACACGACGACGGTGAGCGGCAGCGAAGACCTCTTCAGTGGATCCCCAAACGAGCCCCGAGTCCCCCGGCGACCCCCCTTTATCCCCTGGCCGCCGCCTCGCGCCCCCGTCGGCCACGCTCCCTCCTGAATCCCGACTGGAGCTCCCCGCTCCCGGTCACGTGACCGCCAGTTCCTCCAATGGAGGCTTCCGGCGCTCTGCGTGGCTGGTGCTACAGCGTAGAGGCCATTTTGTGTGTCTACATATGGATGAAAGCCTCACTAACCACAAACCCTTCGATGTAATGAAAAAAATATATAAAGAAATCCCGTATTGCCTTGAACAGACTCTCGGGGCAAGTGCTGTTAGCGAGTAGGATCTATGGAGGCCGGAACGGCACACGAGGGTATTAATTTCAGGCTGAGTCGACCCAGGGGAGTCCCAAGACTGGTTCGAATATTCCCCACTGTTATTGGTCGTGAGCGGGAATCGAATTCAGATCGCCAGGTTCGTAGTGCAGTACACAAACCGCTGTGCCACCGCTCCCCACAATGTAATAATACACCTAGCACTTGCAACGGAAGCTGATTTTATCGCTCCATCTCCTAGGCAGCTTCCCTCACTGACGCATTCCATTCCTTGGCTGCTGCTCCATTATTATCCTTAGCCACTTAAGTGACGTCTCTGTCACGTCACATGTTTAGAATGATCCCAAGCCATCACTCTGTTTGGGTTGCTCCGAATTGTTGTATTAATTTGCGAACCGGAAAGAGGTCCCTTCTGCAAAGACAAAGATCCCCCATATAGCCTTAGCAGACTGTTGGGGAAAGTGCTGTTAGCGAGTAGCACCCACAATGTGCCACGGTGGCGAGATGTTATCTCCCTTGCCTGGTATGGAGGAGGTCGTGAGTTCGATCTCGACCCTAACGCCTGTTGTATATCTGGAGTTTATGTGTTTTCCCCGTGGTTGCGTGGATTTTTCTCCAGGCTCACCGTTTTCCCCTCCACATTCATAATCAATGTGCTTTTAGCTTATTTGGCTGCTATAAATTTCCACTTGATAAGCCACTTCGTTGTGCTATTATTTGTGGTCAAGTTGCTTGTCAAAAAGAGCTATACAGCTTAGTGGGCTTTACCTGGTAACATAAAAATAGTTTAAATGTTGACTTAAAGCTTTCGTGACTGCAGGAATTCATATTCTTTGGGTCTTTCGGTATAGTCACGTAGATAGGTTCAAAGAAAATAACATAATGACGACCGCTTGTGTTGTGATCGAAACGTCGTAGTTTTTTGTTATTTTCTTTGAACCTATCTATGTGACTTGACCTAAAGATCCAAAGAATAAAAATAGTTTAGTTTAATAAATAGGTTCATAATACACACAAAAAGACAGAGATCCCCCGTATAGCGAACACCTATGAAGACCGGCACGGCACACGAGAGGGTGTGTGGGCAACACCACCCCCGGCAGCCTTTGTCTCCTCAGTGGCAATGTTTACACGTGGCATCAGGTACTTATTTGAGGATGAGTCGACCTAGGGGAGGCCCAGGACCGGTTCAGATAATCGACATCGGTGTTGGCCGCAAGCGGGAATCAAACTCCGGTCAACGGGTTCGTAGCACAGCGCACTAACCGCTACCACTACTGGTCCCCAGGCTCCCTAATACACGCACTCACACACAGACACACAGAGACACCCCCGGCTAATGCGGCTGTCGATGAAATGGGTACTGATTAACAAACATGACAGGGTCAGTGAGGCACATGCTATTACCAGGCCAAGGGAATTACTACCCTGCACTCGACTGAAGTTGGCCTTCATGACGCATTGTGGCTGTGAACACGACCGGTGGTTGTAAACGGGGAGGGTAGGCATGCACGTTGTGTGCGCGTCTGTATGTGGGATGTGGGAGGACGTTGTGACTGTGTTCATGACCCCACTCCGTGCGCAGAGGTCGACTCGAGTGTAATGAATCAGGGTCGGTTGTGTAAGAAGCACTTTTAATGGTCTACGTGGAGAGGCGGGTGTAGAAAGCGGGAATGTTGCGTCCGTCCAGTGTTCTGTCTGCTTACTCAAATGAGCCTTGAGGAAGCATCAGTGGTTCACTCTTCTAATACAGCCCTGCAGAGCGGGGGGGGGGGGGGATTCTCTCCATAGGACAAGACACTGCTCACTTGCCCACAAAGTGGTACCCACATTTACCAACGCATGGCGATGCGTGATGAGACAGAGAGTGGTGTCTGTGTTGCCATGCGACTTGAAGGCACCACGGTGGCGAGATGTTAACTAGCTTGTCTGTATATTTGGAGTTTCCATGTCTCTCTCTCTCTCTCTGTGGTTGTGTGGATTTTTCTCCGGATTCCCCAGGTTTTTTCTCCATGTTTAAAATCAACATACGTTGAGAGTATGTGGCTGCTATAAATTTCCACATGATAAGCAACTTCGTTGAGCTATCATTTGTGTGGCCAAGTCTCTTCTGAAAAAAAAGAGCTACATAGCTCTGTGGGGCTTTACCTAGTAAAATAAAAAAACATGTTTTCGTTTAGCTTTCTAGTTCATTTTGGCAATGGAAATATAATCCAAGTGCCCGGCCCCTGAGCACAGGGGAACTTTATTAACAGTCAGAGTAAGCAGTTTAACACGTAGTAGGCTTTCGCAACCAATATTCTCCACAAGAGATTTTTTTTGGATTAGATCGTGTTAATATAAATGTGTCAATAAACCCGCCGCCACCCAACACAGCCAATTAGTAAGGTTTGCCACGTAAACAAAACGTGCCAAACCATTACTCGTTCAGCACACCGGTGCGTTGGAGAGTAAACTCACAAAATTTACAATTCGAGTAAGACAATTCGCCAGTAATTACAACCAGCCTCATCAGGCGATAGCCAGAGTTGTGGAGAAATCCTCCTGCTTCGGTCTTAAATAGACGGGGTAAATGTGATGTCATCAATTGAGAGCCAGTCAGGTGTGAAGATCAGATCAGGGGAGTTAATGTAGTCATATACATTACGAGCTGGAAGTACCCGGCGTTGCCTGGGTCTTAAAAATATTTCAAAACTACTCTGAAAAATCTAACAGCAGTGCGTACTGACTGTGGTGGTACCTGCTATGATTAAAGCAGTGCATACTGTGGTGGTAGCTGCTATGATTAAAGCAGTGCATACTGTGGTGGTACCTGCTATGATTACAGCAGTGCATGCCGACTGTGGTGGTACCTGCTATCACTACAGTAGTACATGCTGACTCTATAGCAGTATTTATCGACTCTATAGCACAAAGTACTCACCTGATAGAGTGACATAGTGAGGCCTAGTTCTGTGCAGAGCCTCCGGCCTCGCCTAGATTGTCCAGCCGGCCGAGGTGGCACCTTGGCAGGCTGAGGCTGGGCTGCTACCCCTGACACCCCCCCCCCCCAGCCATGATTTCTCTGGCCACTTTGCGGTAATATCTACCGCCTATAGTGGTAGCATCTAGCGAGTGTATAGTAGTAATAACTGCACGCATCGGGGTGGGGGGGGGGGGGGGGGACATCACACAGTGAAGAATTAACGTCAGCATTTAGTGTATATTTATAACGTTTTTACCGTGAAAGAAAATGTCCCCTTCACTCCCACCGAAGGCGTGCGACTTGGCATGGGCCGTCCCCCCCGCCAAAGGCGCGTGAGTTGGTATGGTCGTGCACGCATCATAAATAAATGAATAGATACTCGCACTAAATCGCTAATTAAACTAATTTAAAGTTGACGGAGGTGAAAAAGGAATAGCGCTTGCTCACCGCGGGGCTTACGGCTTGGTACCTAGCTATTTTTTTTACTTAAACCCCACCGTTGGAGAGGCGAATCGTTCGCAAGCGGGCGAACAGACACAACCCCACAAACAAACCCACAAACAGACAATTTTTGACTTTATATATATAGATAGAAGAAGAAGATAATGGATATCTATTATTGGTTGGTTTATTAACAATCTTGATTTGAAGCTTTCGTGACTGCAGGAATCCATACTCTTTGGTTCTTTATGATGATGGACGCTTGTGTTGCGCCCAAAACGTCGTGATTTATTTTATTTTATACCTACATGACTTTACCGAAAGAACCAAAGAGTATGGTTTATTAACAGTTAATCAGCATACATAATGTACATCATGCATGTACATTTTGCATGCACATTATGCATACACATGCATGCATGGTGTGCATGCATGTGCATGCACATCCTTCCGTTTTTGGGTGGAAAAATCGTAGGACCTGTTATCGGCTGCTCAGTTAATCACCTCCGACCTGTATAGCCATGCAGTTAAAGCGTGTCACTTGATAATACGCTTACAAGTAGCACTTAGCCTGTAGCTATCAGAACAGGTAAATTATTTGTATTTCTCTAAAATTCTAAAGATTATCTAATTCGTCTTGGCTAGCAGTAATTAGTTTTGCACAAAGCCTCAACATTATCAAACTCAATTGAGTGCACAGCATGAGACTAAAAGAACACCAAAGGAATATTAAGTACTCCCAAACACAACTGTCGGCAGTGGCAGAACACGCATGTGCAGGGTTGTACAGGGCACGTCACTGAGTGGCATCCAGAGGTCAGTGGCCAAGGGGAAGAGAAGGCCTAAAGCCAGGAGGGGGTCGTGGTGATGATGAGACTGTTTAAATGCATTACACTTTTCTCTGTGCCCAGTCACTGGAATCCTTCGGC